ACCCCCAGTGACTTCACTAATCAATGCTACAGCATTGACAATGACACTGGTGACTGAAAGTTCTAACACTCTCGCCATTGACATCAAGGGACATCTTGTAACATGTTCACTACGCAAAACTCAGACGAGAATATGTGAACGTTCTTTGCAAACTGTAAGGTGCTGTGCAGATGTTGTTAGCTATTGCTATTATTCCTGTTCAGTGAGATTTCACTGAACACTAAAAGGAAGACTAGTTTGTATAACTGACAAATATGATTTACAGAACATCTTAAAAGCAACACAAGATACTTCAGGTACATGTATCAATGACATAGGCAAGGAGAAAGTGTGACCAGGAGACATGGGGAAGAAATCTGGACTTATTTAAGAAATAAAGGATTAAGCTATTCATAGGCTATGTATTTATAGTTAGCGTCTCAATGTCTCTGAAAGTAATTTTTAAGATAACTCCATCCCACTGAAAAATAAATTTTTTATAGTTATTAATGTGCACTTTGGCACAGCTTTAGTGAAAGTGAACTTAAACCCAGGAGCAGAATCTGAATAGTATATCACACTAGTGAATAGTAAGTTTAAAGTTCATTTCGGCATAAATTAGATACTAAATATGAAACCGTCTGGAGATCAGAAATACACAAGATACATGAAACACAGGATTGAACTCCTTCAGCTTTAGCCTTCCTTTATGTACACCTTACTTGTCTAAGTATTTTTTATCGACCTACTTGACTACTCTGTCTACATAAGATATATATGAAATGGAAAATGAACACAAATCCATTGGCAACTTGTTTTGACAAAGCCAATAGAACTGTTCTTTTTCATTTGTTTTTGTAGATGTTGTTCTTGTTCTTTGTTTTCGAAGACAGGTTCTTACATGACTCAGGATGACCTTGAACTCACTATGTAGCCAAGGATGACCTTGAACCCCTGATTCTCCTGCCTCTGCTTCCCAAGTACTGGGATTACAGACATGTGCCATCATACCTGGCTCAGTATGATTTCTGTGATGAAAAATTTCTAAGTACTACAATCTATTTCTGTTAAATTTCCATGAAACATTCTGTTATTTCTCATGGCAGGTTTAAAATTCTTTACTATGAACACAAACAAGAACACTACTGTTACATGTGAAATGGTATCCATTTGAAGAGCGTGCTAATGACATCAGATGCATCGTATAGCAAACTTCCATTTTTCAACAGTGGCGGGGAGCGGGGAGCTTATTCAGGGAACAAGTTAGGAGGTGGGGAAGGTATTGTTACAGTAAATGGGGTTAATTCAGTAGCTTGTATTGACACTTGAGTTGTACTACCTGATTCAGATTACTATTACAATCAGTTTTTAAACATCAGTGACCATGATCCTACTGTAAAACATAACAGTTTAACTGTAGCTTTCCCTTCCGATACATCATATGTGCTTTATGCCAGAGGAAACTAGTAAGATATCTTGAAAAATGTGTCCATTTGTCAAATAGCACATTAATTAACATAGTTAACAGCAATAAAATGGTAAGTTCTGGGGAAAATTCTTAGAAGTCTATTCTGTAATAATCTTGAATATGAATCTGACCATCTGATTTTAATATTCAAACACTTGTACTTTATTCCCAAGAGAAAATGACTTATGTTTGCATGTATCCTTGGTTGAAACACTTGAAGAAAAATAGCTGTATCATTACCTAACTAGCAAATATCTGAAATCAAACAAAATAATCCCAAGATATCTTTTACAAATAGCACAAGATCTTCAAAGTACAAGAAAAAACCTTGGCATTATATAAAAAGAAACTGAGCAGACAATTCTAAATACAACAGGCCACCTGATGAGGGAATCATCCAGAAATCTACTACACAACATTCAAGACTCAAATATCATAACTAAAAGTAGATTCTTTACAAAATAACCTTATATTTAGAATACTTGCTTAAAGATATTTAAACTATACACAACAGTGAAATATAATTAAGAACAATCCTGTAATAATCATACTGATCTATTATTTTGCTTAATGATAGCAGAAATGTATATATGTCTCTTCTGCCTAATCATCTTTATTCCTTCAGTCTAGCTCCATAAGATAAAAAGTAGCTTTGGACAAATGAATCAATCATGGCAAACATAAGCAAGGGCCTTTGTATTAGGATAATCAGTAACAAGTTATTTCAATTTATTTTTAGAGTTATTTTTAACTGATATAAAAACATAAGAACCATACATACTTTTTATAGGATGCCATGTAATTTTTTGATATATGCACATGTGCAATATTCAAATTGAGTTATCTATTCAATTATCATTTCTTTTTGGTGAAAACAACTGAAATTTGAATTTTAGAAGAATAAAGAAACAATGTGCTTTTTAAGATAATGGCCAGAAACCATATATTTGAAAAACTGTAAAGAGTTCTCTGGTAAAGTTGTCAGAATTTGAACTTAAACCAAGGTTGTAGTGTTTCTGGAACTAACATCGGGAAACACCTGTCAAAACTGCACACAGGTTGTAAACTAACATAGTGATTATCTTCAGGTAGCAACATTATGGGGCAATTTTTATTTTCTTTCTGACTTAATATGGATTTTTCTAGTGTTTTACAGAATATATATGATTTTCCAATGAGAAATAAAAATTTGGGGGACAGTTGTTTTTAGATTGTGTATATATAGTGTCCAGAGGTGGGTCTGACCAAAGTTTAAAGGTACTGAAGAAAGGTCACAGGACTATTTTATTTTTAGGGGAGGAGTCCTCATAAAAAAAGGCCTCAATGGTCATCCAAAAATATAGGATGTATCTTAGCTCTGATGAAAAAGACAAGAAGAGTAAGAAAACTCAAGGTCTGATTTCAAAATTGTTTCACTCTCAATGCATACAAACTGAACATTTTGATATTCGAATACCTATCACATACTATGTTTTATTAAGTAGGAAAAATTTAAAAGGGATTTCAATTAATTTTGTAATTGAAGCTTAATTTCAAAGCAGAATGAGGAAGCAATATTGTTGTGTTAGTTACAAAGTTGGCAGTGAGCTCATCTCTTGGCCCTCAGTAAACCCTAAGTCCTTTTACATGAATGGGTGTGATTTAAGCAAGTTTCCCCATTAAATTCCAGAATGTGAGATTTATCCTTACTCAGTGACATTCAGATTAATTACACTGTTCACAATTTAAGCAACTTCCCATAGGAAATTAGAATCTGAAATCCAAGAGCCCGATACTGTTCTGAGAGGGAAAGTCTTCCAGTGAAGAAGGAAACTGAGATTTGCTTCACTGTGTGTTTCTTAATGCATCCAAAGCAAAGGAGTAAAACTGAAAAGTATAAGGCAAATTGTTATAAAAGACTTTTGTTGTAAGATTTAAATTCTTCACAGGATAAGATGTAATTCACTTGGCATTTGCATTTGTACCTATCTCACTTTCTCAAATTTTTATTTGCAAATGGAGATTCAAAGTTAAAAGTAATTAAGTGGGTCCAAGTTTAGTCAAATGTGACTGACTCCCTGAATGATTTTAATGTTCTTTCTATTCAAATAAAATACATTTATTAACAATACCCCAGAAGTACTTATTATATTTAAAAATAAATTCATGCTATCAAAAGGTGAGGTTCACTTTAATCCTGTTTGCCTTCACGCCATTGTCGTGAGCCTTCATTCCAGGCCACGTAGACAAATAGGGCAAGAACGACATGAACCGCCACAACTGCTACAATTGCGGCATAAAAATAGCTGTCTCTGTTGGACATTCCCAGGGCACCTATCAAGAGAAGAAAAAATTTCATTTTATTTCACAACTTAGGAAAGTACAAAAACCAAAACATAATAATGGTGCTTGTTTTGTTTTGGAGACAGGGTCTCATGTAGCCCAGGGTGGCCTCCGAGTCAGTATGTAGCAGAGGATGAGTCAGGCTCTTAATCTTCCTGCCTCCACCTTCCAATTGCTGTGGTTACCATCAAGTACCACTTCCCCAGCAAAGCACATGAATTATTAGCTGTGTATTTAACTAGTGAAGCAAAAAACAAGAAAACAGCAAAATCAAATTTACAAATAAAAACGTGAGAAGAGGCAGAGGCTGGTGGATTTCTGTGAGATCCAGGCCATCCTAGTCTGGTCAAATTCCTGGCCAGCCAGGGTTACACAGTGAGACCCTGTCTCAAAAAAAACAAAACAAAACAAAACAAACAAACAAAAAAAACAAAAAAATTGCCCTAAAAACATAGAACTTACATTAGTAAGGCAAAAAGTCTTCAAATTTGTAAAACTTACCTTCGAATATGTAAGATTTCGTTGTAAAATATAGGCCAATAGGAACGGTGATCATTAAAGCTGTGAAGAACAGGAGAGTCTTTAGGGTTGACGCCAATGAGCTTTCATTCCTAGAATAAAGAAACAGGATCCTCAGGAGCCATACTGAAATATATACTACAATGCAATAAATGGAACATATGCTGGAAAACCTGCCCTGTGTTGTGAACACACACAGAGCATCCAGTCCCAAGGACAGGTGGCAGTTGTAGACATAGGGCATTTCTTTCACTATACAATGCCGGTTTGCATCCATCCACACCTTAAACAGACCATGGTTCAAATCGAATGTGATTAGTTATATCCAGGAAGTGATCCAGAGAAAGACGCCAATTCCTCTTCTGCCTTTACAGGCACATCATTCATAGAATTTAGGCAATCAAAATCAGGGATAAATCTGGTAATGGCATCAACTATTATGGACATCAGCAATGAAACACCGGAATTGGGGCACAAAGAACTTCCTTCCGCAACAGCAGAGAGCGCATGCATGCAAGCATCACGCCAAGCAATCCCACCGCTAAAAACTGCGCTGAGAAATCTGAACCCAGTTTCAGGCAAACAGTTCCTCTCCAAGACCTGTCATATGAACAGACGTATGATTGAGCTGGAGAACTGGAACCTGAACTGATTCAACTGGAAAAGGTGAATGTATTCTGGATTCAAAACTGATCTAAGGGGCTGTAGAAATGGCACAGCAGTTAAGAGCACTGACTGCTCTTACCACGGGAGTTCGACTCCCAGCAAGCATGGTAGCTAAGAACCTTGTGTGACTTCAGTTCCAGGGGATCCAACATCGTCTTTTCACCTTGACATGGGTGCACTTACATACATGCAGGCAATACACTCGTACACATAAAATAAAAATAAAATTTTTAAAAATCTAATCTAAGACCTAGCTGCCAAAAATAAATGTCACAACACAAATGCATCTGAAGGACATGATGCTAAACTAAATAATATTGGAAGAAAAATATTCTATGAGTCCACATATGTGTACACTCTTCAATTAAAAAGGTATCAAAGAGGCCTGAGAGATGGCTCCGCAGTTCAGAGTACTGGTTGTTCCCAGCCAAGCGTGGTGGCGCATGCCTTTAAGCTCAGTACTTAGGAGGCAGAGGCAGGCAGATGTCTGTGAGTTCCAGGCCAGCCTGGTCTCCATAGTGAATCCAGGCCAGCTGCAGCTACAGGGAGACCCTATCTCAAAATAAAAAGAAAGAAAAGAAAAGAAAAGAAAAGAAAAGAAAAGAAAAGAAAAGAAAAGAAAAGAAAAGAAAAGAAAAGAAAAGAAAAGGAAAGGAAAGAAAAGAAAAAAGAGAGAGGGAGGGAGGGAGGAGTACTGGCTGTTCTTACAAAGGACCTAGGTTTGATTCCCAGAACCCACATGGTTGCTAACATCCGTCAAAAACTCCTATTTAGGAGCTATGATGCATTTTAGCATCTGCTGGCACTGCACACATGAGGTGCACTTACATCCATGCACACAAAACATTCATAACACATGAAATAAAAATGAATAAAAAAATACCTGAATAAAGATCGCCTTTTTAAAAAGGTGATCAAATGTATAGTGAGAATATCACAGTGGCAACAATGGATAGGGGGAGAAAATATGTAGATGTATGTCGAAGTATAATAAACTAGCAGATATGCAAAGTTAATGAGTCGAAGCATGTAAACATGAAGACTAGTCTTCATAAAATCATATTGTATTTGGAATTTTTTTATTATATTCTTTGTGCATGTGGAAGAAATTAAAATCTTACTGCTGTGAGGAAAAAAGTTTCCAAGATTTTCTTTTAGCTCTTAATGTATTATCTTTTACTCTGGTATTACTGACCTACAGTAATTCGTGTGTGTGTGTGTGTGTGTGTGTGTGTGTGTGTGTGTGTGTGTTAAGCTGTTTCCTAGTAGAGGATTTCAGTTATTAAGTAACTGTCATGAAGAATATGAAAACACTATTTGGGCACTTCTTTCTGGACCTTAGACCTTTAAAAAAAAAAGCACTTTAAATTTTATATGGTGGTGAATACATATTGTACATATGCAATTTTCAGATTATCTAAGTAAGGAACACAAATTCAAAAAAAGGAATGGTTCACAGATTATTGTTATTTTTTTTTCAATGCCAGGGACTGGACTCAGGGCTTCATATATGCTAAGCAATTTTCTACCACTCAGCTACCTCCCTAGTCCTCTTTTTAATTATCTTTTGAGAGTGGATCTCACCAAGTTGCCCAGGTTAGCCTAGAACCCACTCTACTCCTGGCAGACCTTGAAATTGTGATCCTCCTGCCTCATCCTTCCTCACAGATGGGATTAAAGGCCTATGCCACTATATCTGGCTTGCTCTTTACATTATCTTTCTTAAATATCACCCAGTATAAATTTTACAAAGAATTATTATTGAAAATATGACATAATGCAATATAAATGTTTACAGAGTGAACAAAATCACTCTCACCACTGAAACATTTACTTTTTTATACATTAATGTCTAGCCTCCCCACACACACACTATGTACACCATGTTCTAGTCATTTATAGCCTATTATTTTCAATTCATTCTAACTACTTTCTACCTTAAACTTCAACTATTTGACTAATTTTCTGGGTGATAACCTCAGTAATTTAGGATTGTTATATACAGCACATTCACTTTAACTAAGATGTCTACAGTGTCACTAGATGATACAATTCCATGGACCCATCATCATACATGCAGTCTGTCATTGGCCAAATTGTGGCACATGACTGGATAAAATCAAAGTTAACTATACAAATTTTTTAAAACTAGTTAACTTTCCCTACTGTTTATACCACTTTTCTCCTTGGCTTCTTTTCTGTACCTGTTGGTTTTGCTAGAAAAAGTCAAGCTGGGTAAAATCAGTGATAAAACAAAGTAACTGATGCCATTTGATTGTTTCATCTTCTATCTTGAACTAGAGGATTACTGAGACCTGTAAGAAATGAAGAATGGATGGAAAAAGCCAGAATTAATGTTGGGCCCACACAAAACAAAGTTTCCAATGAACCTTATCATGCACGTTCTTTTAACACCACTTAAAGAGTTTTCCTACCTCCCCCTCCCCCGACCCCGGGGCGGGGGTTTGAAGAGTTGGTTCAGCAGTTAAGACCACTAATTGCTCTTGTTGAAGACTCAGGTTTGAATCCCTACACCCACATGGTGGCTAATAACCATCAGTAATTCGTGTTCCAGGAGATCTAACCCCCTTTTCTGATCTCTGTGGGCATTGCATGACACAGATGCACTTACATACATGCAGGCATAATACTCATACACATAAAATAAATCGTTTTCCCATTTCACAGAAATTTCTGAGGCAAAAATTGAACAGAGTTTACCACATTCTTTCTTCTACTGTAAGATTTCATTAGAAATTTCCTTCAGAAACACTAGTAACTATCCAGATGGGCTATCTTGTATTGTTAGTGTACATAATCAAATATTTATTGGTATTTTCATAAGTAGTAATTTTAAAAATTATTTGTATGTGTCCATGCACATGCCATGTGGGGGAGGTCAGACTACAACCTGTGGAGTCAGTTCTCTCCTACTATGTACGTCCTAGGGATCAAAGTCAGGTCATCAGTCTATGCAACATTGCCTTTTAACCAATAGTAATTCAAAAAAAATTATTTTTATGTGTATTTGGCCTGCATGTAAGTGCACCACATCCATGCAATGCCCCTGGAGGCCAGAAGAGTGCAGTGCATCCCCTGAAACTAGAATTATGGACAGTTGTTAGCTGCTATGTGGGTACTGGAAACCAAGCCCAAGCCTGTAAGAACAGCAAGTGTTCTTAACTGCTGAACTGTCTTTCCAGTCCCCATCCCCATAGTAATTTTGTGAAAAGGAAAACATATGTATTAACACTGTAGGAGAGTAAACAGATTTCAGAAGTCTAGTAATCAGAGTGCTCAGGTAATCACAGGCTTTGGAGTCAGTAGATATTGTCAAATGCCAACTTCAAGCCATAGTAACTGTGAGGTGTAATTTTGTGATCTTGGATAAGTCACTTATTTTAAGTCAAGTTCCTGCTCTTCAAAATCCGGAAATTAAGCAGTTAGCAAAATCGAGAATTAAGAAAACTGATGATGTATGTCAAAAGCCTAGGAGATGTCAATGAATAGGTGCTAACTGCTTTCCCAACTCCTTGCCTACTGAGACAGACGAGAAACACAGGTGCTGCACCACATTGTTTCTTTCAGGTCACCAGCCCCCACCCTACTGACTGATTCATCCAAGAGCAGGCTCACACCAGGGTCAGCCTCCACTCTCTTCGCACAGCAGATATTTTATGAAACCCTGTGATGTGGGCACTGACAGGGGTCCGAAGATGAAGGAGGCCGGGCACTTGTCATCAAGATGGCCCACCCTGCAATGGAGAGAATGCAAAAAGCGAGATCGCCATACAGACAACAGGGAGAGCAGGTGCAAGAACCGAAGCATGAACGAGGACCCCTCCCCTCTACCCGCAACCCTGGATCCCTAGCTCAGGAGTGAAAGGTGGGGCCGGGCGTGCAGAAACTGCAGACTCCGAACTGCTTCCCGTCGTCAGCGGCCCGCTACGGGCTGCAGAGATCCAGATCCCAAGCCCTCCCCACGTGTCACGTTCCTTCCCCGGATCCGGCGCCAGGCCAAGGCGGACCCGCCCTGGTCACCCGGCCGAGCTCAGGGCTACCTGAACTCCGGTGGCTGCAGCGCATTCAGCGCCGCTTTATCAAGGCGCTCCATGGTGTCGCCGTGCAGGCAGCAGGCAATGGGGGCTGGCTGGGGTCAGGGGCCCCAGGCGGACGACAGTCCTAGGCCGGTCGCGCCGGAAGTGCCCGGGGATGAAGCACGCAGGCGCGGCGCGGTGCAATGACGCAAGGCTGGGGTGCGCGCCACCGGCCCGGGTGCAACTTGGGCACTCACGTGACTTACCCGCGGGGAGTCCGCAACGCACGGGTGTGGGCGAGTGGCTCCTGTTTCAGGAGCAGGCCCGGCGAGTAGCCCAGCCACTCCACGTTGAGCCGAGACTTCCCGCGCAGCATTGTCCTATCGGCCGGCGGCGGCGTGCCGCGAGCTCGGCTCAGGGCCAGTCGTTCGGGGCTCAGTCCCGCTTGCAGCGCTGCGAGACCCGGGCGACCCCCGGTCTATGAGCCGCGGGAAGGACGACCCCGGTGAAGGCTGTGGTGCTAGGCAACCGAGCGGTATCAGACGACAGCAACACAAAAAGCAATGCACATTATTCCACCAGCCCTTGAGGAAAGGTCTTATTAATTCTTGCCCGCCTTGGAAGTCCAGCCTGGTGGGGGCGGGGGGGGCTTACCACTCACCCAGGTCTGTAAAACTAGAGAACTGTCAGCTGAACGAGCCCGTGCTGAGAGTGACCGGTTCACGCTGGTAACAGGTGACGCTAACTTCCACTTAAAGTTAAAAGCATGTTTTGCAGCTGTTCAGAAAGCCGCCAATGAGACAACAGGGACTCAAAAATAGTAAGGACAGTTGGGCCTAAGCTCCAGGTCACCCCGAGAGGCACCAGCAAAAAGGGTGTGTAAACCTTAGGACACGCTTGACAAAATTAGGTTGCTACTGGCTGCTAATCGGACAGCCCTTACATGGTCAACGCCTGGAAAGGACTGCCGACCACACATCTATTTCTGCACCGCAGGATACAAAGACTACATCTGAAATCACAAGCTAGCCAGCAACTTACAGAAATGCAGTGGAGAGAGGACTGAGCATTAGGAAGCCTGAATTAAAATTTAAATGTAATAACCCTTTCTAGGTCTCATCTAGAAGTGAATAAGAATCACATAAGGGAAGAACTCTGGGAGTGGAGAGCTGGATGCCCCAGTAGCACCCTCGGTGGCCAATCTAGTACTTTAAGCTTGTGGCCCATTTTTCTACTGCCTTTGTGCTGTCATTTTTCCATCTTGAGTGGTGGAAAAATGCCAAAGAATAACTACTCACAAACAGCACATGAAAATCATTCAAATTTTAATGTTCATAAATACAATTTTATTGGAACTCAGTCATGCACATTCGTTTGAAGTGTCTTCAAGTACAATCAATGTTGGGTAGAGGTGACACAGATGGTATGTTTGCAAAGTCTAAAATACTATGTAGTTTCTAATTGCGTGTGGGGTGTGTGTGCATGCTTGGGGGGGCGGGTGATGGGGACAGAACTGAGGACCTCACTGCTTAGTGGACAAGTACTCCCCCACTGAGTAACAACTCCAGCACTCCCCATCCCCTTTAAAAATTTGAGGTAGGGTCTCACTAAATTACTCAGACTGGCCTCGAACTTATAACCATTCTGTCTCAGTCTCCCTGGGTTTACAGGTCTACACCATTTGGCTTGATGGTACATGACTCTTTACAGCAAAACTTTGTTGATTCTCACTCTTACTAAACACCTCTAGCTCCTTAAACCCCTGGGGATCCATAAACTGAGGAGTGGGGGAATAACTTTAAATTCCTTGGTAGGCTAAATCTTTTAAAACATAAATGTAAAAGGAACGATCATTTGTACTTAATGGTACATAGTAGACAATAAATTTGTTAAATTACTCAATACTGTCTACAAAAAGACAGCAAAAAGGTTCTTGATACCGAAAAAATCAGAAACCACTGATGTATTAGTTTGCTGTAACCACTGTAACAAAGTACTGCAAACTAAGCGGACTAAGCGATGGGAAGTTAATCATCTCCCATTTCTAGTCTGAGATGGGGGTACTGTGGTAAAGTTAGATCCTTCTAAGGTCTACTGCAGGAGGATTTGCTCATTCTGTGCCTCTCCCTTACATCTGTTCGTTGGCTGACACTTTGACATTCTCTGGCTTGTAGAAACGTTACTCTGATCTCTGCCTTCATCTTTTCATGATATTCTCCCCACATGTGTGTCTGTGTCCAAATTTCCCCTTTTCATAAGAACACCAATCTTGTTGCATTAGGGAACCACCCTACTTTTAATGATGGTATCTTAACTAACTACATTTGCAGCAAGTTTATTTCCAAATAAGGTCACACTCTGAGGTACTAGAGGCTAGGAATTCAGCATATGAATTGGGGGAGGAAGAACAAAAGTAAGTCTGTAATAATCTAAACTCTACCTTGTATAGATGAGGAAGCTGGCCCAGAGTGGGAAAGGACCCTGTAGGAGTCATACATGTAACTTCTGAGGCCTTGCTCCACTCTTGAGTCCCAGGTGGACACGTTCATATCCAGCAGCCTATGAAGCAGCTGTGTGATAAACAAGGGCCTTTCATAAACCAGACTTGCCATGGAACAAATGTCTACTGAAGTTAGTTTACATAACTTTGATTTCTGTTGAACACTTGTGCTTTTTTCCTTTTTAAGATTTATCTTTAGTTTGAATTTATGTATGTGTGGGTGTCTGTGTGTCTGCTATGTGTAGGGGGTGGTGCCCACAGAGGCCAAAAGAAGGTGTCAGATACCCTGGAGTTGGGGTTTCAGGTTGGGAGCGGCCTGACATGGATGCTGGGAACCAAACTCAGATCCTCTGGAAGAGCAGCAAGTACTTTTAACCACTGAACTATCTCTCCAGCCCTTTGTGCCTTTTTCTTAGTGATTTATACACTGTTCCCAAAGTTCCTGTGAATTCACTGAGGTAGAAAAAAAAAAACCTTGAGAGTAAACTCAGATACTCTAAGAGAAGCAAGAACTTAGCAAGCAACCTGCCTGCCCAACAATGCCCTGGAACTGCCCACCTAAAGCTCCTGGTAAAGAACTGGAGACAAATGAAGCCCAAATAGAGCTGTTGCCATGGAAATAAATGGCATGTCAGGGGCTTGGTCACTAAGGAGGAGAGCCTCACGATTCCCCCTAGAATCAGAAAGTTATTCTTAAACTTCAAGGACACTTGTTGGAAACTTTTACTGTACTTGAGAAAACAGAGCTATGAATGGGAAGTGACTTGCCCCAAATTTCTTGGATCAGTGTTACAACTAGAGAATTTATAGCCCCTTACTCTTGATTGAGTGCTTTCTTCACAATATTGCTGTACATGCCTGAGCTACTGATCAGGCGGTAGGGCAGGCAGGTGCACAAGTAAAGCCAGGTCTTGAGCTACCCTTTGGTTTGCTTTATCGTTCCACAAAACCATACTCCCCAAAGACTCCACATCAGTTGGCACACCAGAGGTTTGATACCATAAGAGGATCCCTGGCCATGAGGGGTGGCAAGGCTCCAGCTGCCAAGTGGTAGTTCAGAGATCTTTTCACATGGGCCTGCCACATTACTGGACGTGGGATTGAAGGGACCAGGAGAGAACTGACATGAAAAAGCCACAAGCCAAGATATACCCAAATTCTACCCAACAAGGCCGGGGTGGTGGGGAGGTGCTGGCGGCAGGTAGGCTGTAAGAAAGCAGGAAGGCTAAATCTTGGGAGAGCAGAGTCCTAGTCCAGGCTTACCCAGACCCGAGCCTGTGGCTTCCGTAAACAAAGTCTGCAGAGCCCTCTAGGCTTTGGAGGACTTAGACTCTGGTTTCTCTGAGGTCTTTCCCAACTCCAAGAGGGCGGGGTGGGGCGGGGCGGGGCGGCTCTGATTGGGCAGCAGAAGAATTTCTTTCTCTGAGTTCTTTCCCACCCCCAAGAGGGCGGGGTGGGGCGGGGCGGGGCGGCTCTGATTGGGCAGCAGAAGAATTTCTTGCTGGCGGGCTGCAGGCGGGGTCAGCAGTGACCCCACTGGCAATCTCAACCCCATTCCTGCCGCTCCGGGGACCTAGGGGTGACATCTTGGTGCCCAACCCCCCATTCCCTGTGGAGGCTACACTCCCAGCATTGGTTGAATAACGTAAATACATTGAGTAAAGAATGAGTGCGGGAACGCTAAGGGACGTCTCCAAAGTGTCTGCTGGATCACACTGCCAAAGAGCTATACATTTTGTTTAGCTTGTTCTTCATTTTTTTTCTTTTCCTCAGCTTGGTTGAAAAAGTTAGAAACCCCAGACTCCGGGTCAAGGAAAAGTGCAGATGCCACGGGAAAAAGAAACCCAGAGGCAGGCACTGATAATAAGAGCTGGGGCTGGGAAGTGCTAGCATATGCAAGGCCCTGGATTCCATCACCAGGTCAGGGACGGGAGGGGGAAAGATAAAAGACTAAGTGCTGCAGTCTCAGGGTTGTGGCCTTTGTTTCCCAGCTGCTCCTCTGGATCCAGTCCTGGGAACACTTCCACATGTTTTCTGACCTGCTTTTAATGGATATTTTGGAATGAAATCTGTGTCCTCACTTTGAAATCTCACATATATGCTCACAAGGCAGACACAGAAAATCCCATGAAGAGGCAGCTGAGTTCCAATGCACAGAACTTGACTTGGAGCCAAAAGTCTGGACTTGAATCTGAGCCCCTCCCTCATACCTTATCTGCAGGACCTGAAGATTGCTGACCCTTTCTGAACAATCAATTATCTCATCATTTGCCGTGTAGGTATGGTGATTTGATGACTGCCGTGGTCACTTGCTCGACTGCAAAGTCTGATGGAAATGTAGTTGGGCTGCAGGGGAGAAAGACCTGCAGCAGTAAAAGATCTGAATACAAGTGAGGACACCTGTGGTATGTTTTCACTTTGTTTTCCTTTTCAGGTGTGGGAAGTAGACATGGCTGGGAACTGAGGGACTCTCCTAGCACTCTAAAGATTTGCTTTCTAAGCATTGGTTTCTATTATACTTTTACAGCTCCAGTGGAATGTCAATGGATAGAGCAATGGGTTCCTTGCCTAAGTGGAGCAGTAGAGTGACTTCTGCTAGATGTCTGTCCCTTCCTGCAAATCCCGTATAGGTTTTTGCTCTCTAGGCATGTTGTAGGATCAGACATATTTTAATAGTA